GGCTGTACAAAATGACATGTTGAGGAATGAGAGGTTTAAGCCGATCACACTGCCATTAGTTTGTTCAGTACAAAGAACTTGCATCTGGAGGTGATGTGCTGACTTGTGCATCTCTACGCTTCAACGAATCTCCGAGGCTGGTTTAAGCCAATCAGAATTGCCAATTGTCCGAAAATTCTGGAGGTCGATATCATACCAATTTTAGTCTCCTGACACTAGCATGCACGTGCAAATTTAATGGACGACATTCGTTACCAAAAATAGTGTAGTCATTAATTCACTTTCGTTCATTCCCTCGGCTTAAGTAAGCTCATAACCTCTGCAAGTTGCAGAGATATTCATTTTATTTTGAGCTCAAGAGCAATAAAGGAAGTTGGATTCAGTTTAGTTCCAAAACGTTAATATTTTACACAGAAAATTGTAGTGAGTAAGTCAAGGATATTTCGTTAAGTCGCGGAATTGCAAAAAAGATTTCAATGAACAGTCGAAAATTTAACCGCTTTATCACTTAATATTTCGGTTAATTCTTGATTGCTGCCGAACGTTTTGTGGCATGATTGTTTCCTGGCAAGTACTGAGCAGTTACCCGTCATCATCATCATCATCATCGCACAGCGAAATACAGTGAAGCGAACTTGGATGATCGATTTCGTCGCGAGATGGTAAATAGGCAGAACACAATTTTCAACAGACACCCGAGAAACACCTCGAACATCAAGTGACCTATCTATCATGACAACCACCAAATAGGGTGTATAACGATGCTATAAAATCGACAATAAGAACGGATGGAAGGAGAAACCGTGCTGTCCGAACCAGTTATCATGCATATTCCTCAGCATTCGGTATCGGAACTTAAAAGCAATAACATAGCAAGTATCGGATAGCCGCAATGGAGTGTAGCGCATCTACAAATAACGTGGTTGAAGAATACAGCTAACAGTGTTGTGGGGTATTGATGATTCTAGTGACCATCCGAGTTAGGAATTCGTATTGTTTTCAACCTAGTTTAACAAAAAAAACTGATATTCGTCAGTTTCCTCCCTCCTTTTCTTTTCACATCTGCAGTGGATGTACCTATATAGACGGCCTAGGTTTCGGATTAGGAAATTGCGGGGATGTGCTTCTATGTGACGAGCAATCCAACACGGATTACATAGACGGCATTACGTTCATGAGTGGAGATAACAAGAAATGGTTCAGTTTCGTAGGTCGTCTACATATGGGATGCCCATTGTGCGGTATGCAAACTGTGGTGCAACGATCCAGACGTTTTAATCCTGCGTAAATAAACCTCCAGTATGAGCTGATTCTCAATATCAATCTTTCAGTAAACATGTCAGAATTTCTTTTTTAGCTTCTTTTCAGTTAAAACTCCGCATTCGAAGAAGTTCCAGTCTGGAATTTCAACTCAATCACAGTAGAATTCACGCATTTTACAGGACAGCGAGAGACAGCAGTGAAGCACACTCACGTTTTTCCAACGAGGGCAGGTCACGTGCTCACACTCNCTCACACTCAGTAGTATACAACCATATAGAGAACGTGTGATCACGCGACCTTTTCAGACGATAAAAATCGGCATACTTCACGCAGAGTTATACAGGTTCCAAATCGACTTAGGAGCGTGTGCACCGTCGCCACACATTCTGATTACAAGTAATACAGGTAGTATTTGATAAATGAATATGAAGAACAACTTTCTTCTTTTTTAGACTTTCAAGCTTCCTTCGTCTAAGATTGTCATTTCAACGGTAGCTCATATTTAATCAAGTGATTTAAAAGCCTGGTAATCGAGAATCAATGACAGCTCGCAGGGCCTGTTTTACATTATCTAAAATGGATTGCTTTCCTGTGAAAGCACCGTCCGAATTCCATAAAAAGTGACGTGGGGTGTGGTCATGAAATAGAATACGAACCGCTCGACTGACTGATCTAAGCGGTTTGTTTTGGATTACACTGAAGTTATATAGTGTATACAGTAATAATATACATAATATTAATTGCTTGCAACCACAAAACTCAACAATTATTTCTACACGCTTTGAAGTGTATTGGACTCAAAAGCGATCTTCATTTCGCTACGAACCACCTCTGATTCTAGCAGATTAAGTGGATTATTTGTGAGAGGTAGGTTAGCAGAATGAAATTTAGCAGCCCATAGCAGTCCATAGGAGTATGGATGAGAACGAGTAAAGATCTCTAATGTTTTTAATTATTGTTCATGTTGTTGAATGCTGGAAATTATACTTTATAACAATGCTAATTTTTGACTTGTTACCGTTAGGAAAACACTTGAAGCAAAAAGCGAATACTCGTTGAAGCAAAAAGATGCTCTGGAGAAAATAAGTAGCTCAGCCACAAAACAAACGTGAAATACTATGACAAAGTGAAATAAGAAATTGTTAAGACTGACAACATGAACATAAGAATTCCATAACCGACAACTTCATTCCCCATTCACCTTTCAAGTCAAGTCAAAGTAAGCTTTATGCACCCGAAAGATGAATTCTCAGCAATTTTCACATGAAAACAATGGAGACGGAACATCGCAAAGGGGTATTGGGGAGAAAGACGATACCACAGTGCGAGCAATAAAAAGATAATAATAATAAATTAACGCAAAAGACTTCCCCGCTAGACCTGCGATAACTGATTCTCGGTTCACTAAAATACGGGCTGGATAAGGGAGGGTGTTGTTTCTGAATGTGGTGGGGCATTCGGGTAGAGGCGCATAATGGAAATGCGTTTGGAGATTTGACACAGATTTGAGAAGTTCATGGTGCAAACACTGACCGTCATTGAGCAACATTCCATTGGAAAATATTTCTCATGCATCGACAAGTTAGCCCATTTCTGACAAACCAATGTATTAGGCACATTCTGAAAAGCGTACCCGAACCTGAACTCTCCAATAATCGAAATACATGAAACGGAATAATATGACAAACCTCGATGTTTGTGCACCATCGGGATAATTTCATCGTAGACAGCCTATTGGCCGATTCAACACTATGACTAGGACTAATGTAGTTGGTCGGTTTTAGCAATACAACATAAACGAACCATGAACATGGGAGGGGGGTATACCGCAATGTACAAAATGCAGCTTCAATATTATTTTTGCACGATAAAAGAGTAGCTCGTTTACGCGTCGTGGGTTTTGTTATGAAAAATAATTTTAAAATGTTAAGGAGCACCACCCGCGATGGTTGAGTCAGGAAAAATATTTTTTTTCGAAAATGCGCGCGTATTGCTTTGGAAACTCCGTACGATTGTTTTATACACACGAAAAGTCGCCGAAACCACGATTACCAAATATACCGCGATCCGAACTCGGATGCAAACAGTTGTCGCATTAAATTGGGTTATCCGGGCTCGTCCTCAACAGCCCGCACAACTGTTGTGGATCGATATATCGGGATATATAGGGCACCAGAGTTGTCAGTGTTTACGATCAGTTCGCATCTGAATCAAATCCGGCCCCATTTTAACTTACGTCGTTCAGTGGTCTTGTGTAGGTAAACGGACACACTACTTCAAACACAAGTAGATGGAGAAACTGCAGCGAGAAAGGCAAAGATCATTCCGGGAAGTGTATACGTTTAGTATTTCACCTGCATCAGTCAGTGGAAGGGAGAAAAGCGATAGTAACAGTCAAAGTCAGTACCAGAAAACAGAAAACGACTGAATGGGAGATTTTGGGTGTGAAGAAACACCTGACACACACACACATCAAGGTATCGGAAGAGCCTTATTATTTGGGTTCTTTCTTTGAAAAGTGGATGGAAATAAGTGAAAACACCTTGAGAGGCAGGAAAACACTTTCGATTAGCACGAAAAGACACTCCAACAATTGTTCAGTAGAACGCAGTTCGACACAAGAACCTGTTGCGAGGTTTTATCCAACTGCAGGACACAATCAAATTTTAAGTTTAATTAACCGGAAAGTTTAGAAGAGAAGATGTAATAAAAAGGTGGACCAGGTTAGATCAACACAAAGTAAATGGCATCCATGATTGTGACAGCGCGTGTACAGGGCGAGATGAATGAACGGGGATTTCGTTTCAGAAACAACGGTTGAGCTAATTATTTACTGATCTGGGTACTGTAGAACACTTCAGAGCACATAATCTGCTCTGCAACCGGAGATTTTAAAATACCGATCTAGAAGTTTAGTTAAATTCTCTTTGAGCATCAGGCACGGGGAGCACCGGTTTGATTGTTTGTGAAACTTGGACTACCTGTGGAATATCATAGAATCATGCCTTTAATTCTGACGAAAAAAACATTAAATACATGTAGCGAGTGGAAATAGAAAGTGTGATCTATATGTAAGAACTTTTTATCATATCGTGGATAGGCAAAAAGGGATATCCATAAATATTGAGTTGTTTAAATCGGTGTTTTCCGGTGCACAGAGATGCTGAAGTTCTAACCTCGTGATGAACGTTGAAAATTGACGGTAGACGCCGCTAATCAGTCGGTTGATTTATGCATCTATCCCATGGGGCCTGATTCGGTTCACCACAATCAAAGAGAGCATTGGATGCGCATGAAATTATGGAATGATTGGAAAGGTATTTACAACTTCACTTTCGAGGATATTTCGTTTCGCGCTAAGGTACTCTTGAGTGCGAATCACGGTGCGAGTTCTTGATAGTTGCGGTGTCAAGACAAGGAGTTAGGAGGTTAAATCTCGTCTTTTATGGTGTCAAAACTATCCCTGAAAAATGAACCAATATATTGCTACAAGCATACTTGATCGTTACTGTTACCATTCAGTTCAGTTTTACGGTGTACATACATTATTCTAGAACTTCCGGGTACTAGTTTGACTACTGCTTTTCATACAAAAGAAGGAACCAACAAGCTCAAAAAAGGATGGGTGGATTTGTTAAAATTCATTGCAGCGTTGTGAGTCGTAGCAAATACGGTCATTCAATTATCTGTCGGGCCTCCCATGAGTTAGGTAGCAACAAGTAGGCAAGACCAACACGTTATTGATCCGGAGCGATCAGATCCGGAATTGACGTCATCCAATCCTTCAGTCGAGTGAAGATGTCATGATGATCATATTTGTATGGCTGGTGCCAGTCTACTTCGACAGTGACTAGAAGAATGCGGACAACAAAAGCCGATTCGGTGGATTACAATGATCCTTGATGCGGATACAAAGAATTGGAGACACCAGATTTACCGTCTTCGGAAGGACAGCGATTATAAATAGAAGTACGGTGGAGGCCGACAAACGAAGACCACTGACAGAATGGAACGGCATTGAAGGAAGAATGCAAAGCCCTGGGAGAAGAACACATACAGAAAATTATCTACGACAGGATTTAGAAAAGTGAGGTTGTGAAACGCACAGATAATAATGCAAGTAACCAACTAAAGTGTGGGGTATCGCAAAGTTTGGCGATTGCAGCATAGTATGAAACTAATCATTGCGGCGTCAATTTTGTACTCAACAGGTGAGGAGGACTTGGTCTGTGCGGTGATTTACCGAGAAAGTTAGCAGCCGAATCAAACCATGCCTCAGGTTGGGAGCTGTAGTCTCATTTTCGATTTGAACAACTATTAACCATGCACTTTTGTGCACCGTTTTTGGTTGCTATCTTTTGGTCGCCGATTTGCATGCAGGGACAGAAGAAAGATTGAAAAGCTGAAAGTAGTTTTAAATAGAAAATACGGAATTCCCGTAGAATAACGCTGCAAATCAATTGAGCGCCATACCACTCAATGTCTCTAACCGTTGATTACAATGATCCAGAGGTCCCCATCCAGGGAGCCTAACGAAATCTATGCAACCGAGTCTTTCGATGAGACTCTTCAAACCCTCATACCTGGTCTTGGTTTGACCACCCTTGTTTTTTACATACCTACTACCTGCCTCGGTGTGCCTAGATTCCCGCCTTGTGTCCCATTATTATTTCTGTCGCGCTGGCACGATGATATATATAGGTTATTTCACAAAATCATTATGGAACCTATATCTATCCTCACGATCACTTGAGTTTGCTCCAGTACCACCTCTGTCTACTCATACCTTCTTCCCACTGATTCACGGTTTGAACCATAGCACAGATTCTGAACACCGATGACCGAACATGGTGGGGCCTCGCCTAGGCGAGGTTGGTGTTTTGCGTCAATCTTGATATTTCTACACTCTTGTTACCTTAAACTGTAAGTGGCTAACTCCTTTGTGATAATAAGTTAGCCTTATGGATATCTCTGATTACGGTCACTAACACACGACGACCGAGTGTAAGTCAGTGCGGAATTCAAACCAGTGAACGTTCTAGGTCTGAGCACCATAAACTGCTCGCTCACTTAAGTGCTTCATGTCAACTCGGGTTGCGGATATCCAGGTCTTCCGTCGGAAACCGTCGCGACTACTCCGTGACGAGCACAACACAGAAGTAAGGCTTGCTTAGTCGATGGCCGGAACTGGTACAGACGTCTCCGTTGCAGACGTTCTGTGTCCACACAGAATTCGTGAACTAGTTGAAAATGAGGTATTGTCACCTTGTTTTAGGCTGTGAGATGTAGATATCTGTGATGAACCACTGGTAACATTGATATCCCAGACTGTAAAGGTATGTTTCGAAACTGTGTAGAAGCGTGGGGGTAAAGGGTATTTTTGTAGACCCACACCTTGGTTTTAAAGCTTATTTTGCAACGTAGTGGAGCAGGAGGATGATTTGACTTCTTTGCAGATGGATCTTAGCCGTACCGGAAGATACCTCACAGATCAACCCAAAAAAACTAAAATGGTTAGTGACACCTCCTGGTCGAACGGAACATTCCGTGCAAACTAATGGCCGAACGATAGAAATTTTCTCAGTTACTTAGACCTACAATCCTGCGCAACGGATAAGCCACCGACGACGTTGAGCGGTGAACTGGTATGGACCTAGATTGTTTCTACAGCTCCAAATTAACCTCTGGTGCCGGAGCAAGAACCAAGTCTTACTGCACGGTTGTGGAACCAGGCAATTGATAGCTGAGGACAGCAAATGACCGGATCCCTGGTATCCCGAAAGTAAACTGGTCTGATGAAGACTCTGATGAAACCCTTAGAAAATACTGTAGTTTCACCCGCCTACTAACGAGCATGCATCGCTGACACTCGGTGAGAATAAAAACGTGGTTGAATATGGCATTCGAAGATCTAGACAAACTTAACTACTGGGCCACGTACGACCCTCGTCGATGGAAAACGAACTGGATCGAGATAATTGGGGATTTGCGATCAACGACCGCATGGGCGGCAGCGATCGGAGACGTTCATCAAACCACCCTCTTCTTTCCAGGGAACCAAAGGTAAAGTAAATTTTGTGACTGTTCCACAGCAACTTTTGTAGCTTCAGAATAGCTATTCCAGAGCTGCCGATGCGAACTTCGATTTCGTTAATTGCATTGGGCATTCAATGACAGACTAACAGTACTGACCAGAACGGGCATTGTAGACGAACTCCATAGTTCAGTCTGAATTCGGCCTCTTCCTTCGCTAAGCAGGGGACGGCACCACGGTCGACGAGTATTTTGATGTCGGGTTGATCATTCTTGTCGACACTGTACATATATCTTTACATAACTCTGTCAAGCCTGAGAAATGCGTAATGTTTAATTATATTTCTGAATTTGACGCCATTCTGTCGTTGGTTGCCCATAAGATCTACTTGTGACTGGTTGAATATCTATACCGATGTAAGGAACGCGATCTTCCTCTGAAATCCATGTGTACCTCTTTGTTTCTTGAAGCGTGTTGACGATTTCGCTTTACTCTAAGAAACCACAGTGCATTCAACCCTTATTAGTTTCTCCGGTACCCTTACGTAAACTCACACTTTTCCCATCGCCATGATCTCTTGTGTAATACCTCCAAATACTGTGAATGCATGTGCCATCTTTCACTGTCCCAGTTTTGATGTGACCCGGTTGAGTTTAATTCCGTTCTAGTGTTTCGTTCGAACTCTGTCGATTATCTTGATGTTGCGTTATAGGATTTTCTCCATTCGACCTCTAAAACGGAAGGCTGCTTAAGCAAGCAATGGTTTTATTTTTAATCAGCGCACCGAGGATCGTTTTACCTAAATCGATTGAAAAAGACTCAAAAATACTGCGTAGCGGTTCGGCGACCATCAGCAGTATATCCGAAATCCTTAGTAAATTGTGAGCTGCTGCATTGCGCTGTTCATATTAGTGTCAAAAAGATGTTCTTGAGAGAGAGAGAGAGACATGCCACGTGTACAGCGATCTTCTGTCTGTTAATCCCACTGAAATATCCCATCTCGTTTTCAACTACTTCCCTCTAGAACTAATTGGAATGGAAACTTTCCGATCCCTCATTTGTCTCGTATGCTTACAACCAGAAGCAATGTATACAGGTAGACAGATTCGTGAACAAACTTTCCGTTATTTCCACTCGTAATGCAGTGCGTGATTTCGTTGACATCCAAACGCCTACGGAATGTATGTTATTAAAATATAGCACAATACCATAAAGCTGTCCACTAATTACCCGCTTCGAACTCATTCACTATTCCGGTTTCTAAACCTCACGAGAAAACGGGGCTCTACGCCTCCCGGTTTGCTTATACTGTTTACGACCATCGTTGTATCCACCTACCATTTCTACGATCGGTCGACTTTTCACTCACTTTTCACCACCTTAAAGGTTCACCAAATTTTTGGGTTATTAAAAATACGCATGGTAGTCAGCGCGGAAAATGTTTCTATGCTTATTTCCACTATCATCATACTACCTCGTAAGCCATGAACCCAAACTGCCAATAGGCCTCACAATGTTTTACGGCTCCACAGGACTAACTTTTAATCATGAGTTTTATTTTAAACAGCCAAATTATATAATACCTTGTTTTTCTACTATTCCTGTCTAAAAACATCGAGGTTTTCAAGCGCCGAACATAAAAATTGGAACTATCACAGATGTCGTCCTTTCTCCCTTCTTCACAGTACATACACTTCTGAATATCTTCCATTTACCGTAAACAACAATGTAAAAGCTTCATGAATGGTATTATTTTAAACCTAAATACGATGAAGGAATGGTTCGGTACATGTGGCATGGTACTGAGTTGATTGTTAGAGAAGATGCCCGTCAAGACTGGGGAATTCTTAATGTCTGTGATAAAATGAATTGGAATGGAGCTCTCTCTCTAACTGTAAACAACCGAACCAACAATGTATTTTCAGAAAAATACTAGCGGCGATTGTTTATGAAATCACCCTCACAAATATGGCCTGCGCACGATCAACAGAACCAGAAGTACACTTTACCTTTTTCCGGCAACAGAACCGTCATTCTTTCCAATCGGTTCGTCTAACTCTATTCCAGCCCATTCACCAGCAGCGAATTCCGTAGTTCCGAGAAAACGTAAAGTACCCACACGACCTCCAGATACTTGTACCCGATCCCCAAGTTGAAAGCTGGATGAGTTTGTTGGGATGTGCGAGGGTGAGGCATTCGCCAAAGATGCTTTTGGACTGTTGGAAGCGGTAGGAACACTGTTTCCGGATTGGGTCACTGAAGACGATTCGAGGACGTTATCCGTGGAATGAAGTTTCTGCGTAATAGAGATAATACAAAAATCTATGTGCATAAACTGCATTATCCCTTACATTTAATTCAAATTATTTCATCGAATCGGACGGAAATAAATTATTTTTGCTGCTGATCTACTATTGCAGCACTCGTAATAAGGCCTACGTTTCTTTAAGCCCGTCTGCTGGTAATGAGTGGGAGCTTAAACTTCATCTATTTACAATAGCTCCATATGGGATAAGGAACAACGAGATGATACTGAACCAGCTTATTCTGAATTTTAGGTTAGAATTTTTAGTTACGGAGAAAATGGAGCTACCGGAAGAAAGACAAAAAATCGGCAGTCTACCATCAATATATGACCACTAATTGTGAATATTTGGTTTTTTGATTACACACCTAGGTGTGATGAACAGCAGACGGGGTAAACCCCATAGTTACCAGGACCTGCTGTTCAGTGGTTGAAATCGGCAACCTAAGCCCCGGAACTTGGAGTGCCGAACCACANAGCCGCCTACCACCAAAGTCGGGTGGCGGGGCTCGAACCTCGGACCATAGGGTCCAAAGCACGCCGGTGACAGCGACTAAACCACTGCGCCACCACCACCCTAGCACCATCACCTAACCTGTGATAGGTAGCTCATTTTCGCCCGTTCGCCGGCTCTATCTTATTGGAGCTCAGGGTGGTTCGTCATTCTAAGTATAAGGACATAGGTAACCGGTTATTAAGAGTGAACGGGAAATCTTCCGGACTATCGCGCTAAGTCTTTATGCCGTTCATTCCAGTGGCGTAATAAGAGCCTTTTCAAATGCGAATCACAACGAACAGCTTTCTACATTCATTGACAATCAACAATAAGATCCATAGACATGGTATTTAACTGTTCAGTAATGAAAGCGACATAGTAAACCCTAAGAATTGAAGTGATACATTTTAGACCATAATAATATA